TAAGTAAATTCAGAAATGGTGTTAATGACGTCCGACAACTTTTCTCCCAGAAACATACTGATATTTTTTACGCCTAGGTAGCCCGTAAGATTGCAATTAACTGGCTGCTTAATTTTTGTGTTTTATGTGATCTACACTTGTTAAAGGAGTTCTTTAAACAATGTTTTTAGGGGTCACATTTTTATGATCCCATAAATACAAATCTCTAAGTGACAAGTCTGGGGACTTAGGTGGTCATTGTGTTCATTGTTTGATCCATCATTTTCCATCCACCAATCTCCAAATTGGTTAAGTATTCCCGTATAAGTTGTGCCTTATACTGGGGAGCTCCGTCCTGCTGGAACATATGGTTCGCAAGTAGCTGCAGAAAAAATTTTTCGAGCATAAGTGGCAATTGTTCACGCAGACATTTTAAATGACCTGCGTCATTAAGGATTCCTTCGTAAAAGAAAGGTCTTGGACCGGTCATTTTTTCCACCTTAAAGGCTTATAAATCTTAAGCCAAAATAAACATTTTTTTTGAAATAAAAGTTTATCGCAATCCTCAGGGTTACCTAGGTGTGAAAAAATATTGGAATGTTTCTGGGGAAACTTTAACAATGACGTCATTAACGCCATTTCTGAATTTACTATATTTTTTTTTTGCTGAAAGTGTACCATATAGCATCACATTTGAGACCCTAGGATTATAATTTTATTATCAGTTTCCGTTTTGGCACAGTAGACCTTGGGTCTCAAATTTGGATCATCCTGCTCCTACACATTTGGAGCGAACCGAGTGTTGGCTTTAAATTAGTTTATTAATTGAAGCGTAAGTTAAAGGAAGGGTAAGCTCTTATATTTGCTTTTCATACGTGGTATTAAATCGCCCAAGTTATCGGATATTTGAAGGTCAAAGAAGTTTTTTGTTTTAGATAAAAATACAATTAGTAAAAAAATGATAAACAGGTCAATGCATTATTACCAAGAAGTTCTATGGACTGAAGTTGGCAACTACTTGGAACATGTAGTCTTATGGTGGGCGGCGTGCCCTCTCTCAGAAAGACCCTCAAGATCCATCCAACATCTTCGAGAATGGCTCAATACCTTTGTACCAACAGGTGAGAAAATATACACTGTAGACAACCGTTTTCAGTTTTACTATTGATTAGGTGATGTTCCATCGGTAATTTCACCTGCGTTAATAAGCTTGGCTGACGCCTTAGGAGTATACGTTACTTCCACACTCTGGGATCAGTGTTTTCAACAAACCTTAGTGGCATCAAGAATATGTGGCAATCAAAATACAGGGCAACTATTTTGCCGCCTCATACAAGAACTTGTATCACTTTGTAATTTATGCGAAGTTACTCCTGATTGGATTCTTGGTGCTCCAATAAGTGAACTGCCACTAGTGGAGCAAATTCCAATTCTTCATCGGCTTGGTTAATATTGAATACAAGTTGTAACAATATAGAATTAAGAATAGCGGCATCTTTTAGACCATACTATACATACTACCAGATTGTGGAGTATAAACGAGAGTCGCAAAATGGCAAATAATTGGAACGTCCGAGCATTTTTTACTGTAACTCATAACGATGTATTAAACTGCTTATCACATCTAAACGATTTACGTCTAACCAATCATACTACTTCTGGCGAAAAGGCATTTTTGAGCGAACATGTTGAAGTATGTGCGCTTATGCGAGGCAAGCTGGTATCTGAAGTAGAAATCAACAAACAAAAGCTGAAGGTAATTAGCATTTAACTTTGTTATGGGGTTTCGTAATATTTAATGTTATTTTTAATTTCAGGATAGTCCGCGTGAATGTGTTGCCTGTTTGGCTTCCATTTGCAAAGTGATCAATCTTGCTAATTTGCAGATGATGTTTCCGCCGAAGGCATTATGGAAAATTAATCGCGATGATATTCCTGTTAAGCCAAGTCCATACGTTGCAAAGTATTTAGGTAAGTTGCAACACTTAGATTAACTCGATGGTTAAAAGGTCATACGCGTCCGAAAAATATTCCACACGGGGCGCAGAAAGCAAAATAAATTATGCATCAATCGCGCCAGGGGCAAGGAGCGATATCCCTCTGTTTCCAGGTGAGCATATTCATTATGTGCAGTCGCCAATGCGCTGCGCAGTTTTAGCCATCCCACACCCCCACACTGACAATGAAAGAAAATGTTAACCGGAATACAAATACACATCCGAAATGAGAGGAAAGGTTTTCCTAATAATTGAAACGAAGTCGATAATTTCAAGGTAACCGGGCAAATGGTCACAGCTGAGGGTGTCTATAACTACCATCTCGATGAGATTACTGAGTCCTTTGGTAATTTCGAAGTCTCGGAAGGATGTATTAATTCTGCAGTTCGGATAATGCGTTCGAGATGAAGTGGGCATAACTAGTAGTTACTAGTCTCCGGTATGGGATCATTGTTTTGATCGCTAGGGCCACTCCACTGCTAAGACTAGGCCTATCGGAACGCTCGAGCCTGTATCTCCGATTTCTGATTCTGTCTTTTCTCGCCGTGGCGACTCCGGAGCCCAACTGAACTCCATTCCCCAATCCTGATAGGGCACAGTTGACAACATCAATATTTAAAAACTCAAGCTATTAATATCTTCATTGAAGAACTACGTTGAGACTAGGAATGTATCTGTCTTCGAGACGCATCCCCTCAATGCAGTTAGGCGAATTCCAGCTGGACACTGCTGGAAGCACATTCCCATTTATGCCATGGGCTGGGTGGGAGAGCTCGTCTGGACAGCTCCGTGCTGGCCCAGCGGAGGAAAGGGCGCCATGGTCCCTCTGCGTAGGGGTAGAGGGTGGATCGGCCCAGGAGCTCGGTTGGTTTGCCCCTAGGCTGGTTTGTTGAAAGAGGAGCAGTGACGAAACGCTGCCTCTTTGCTAGGACTAGCGCCTGTTTGAACAGGTACACTGGACGTGCCTCGTCAAAGTTACGATGAAGTCGACCGCAATTAGCGTACCCTAGTACAGGTCGACTGGGGCAGGCGGTGATTTCATGCCAACGCTTAAAGCAGCAACAACGCTACACATAAAAAATGATGATGGTGGAAAAATACAACGAAACGTATTTTGATTAATAAATAGAAACAATAAATGACTGAAGCCCAGGAATAGATTTAATTTGGAATTATATATTATACCACGAACAAAGAAAAGCATTGATAATAACCAAATGTGAAATTTTAAAATATTTTCACTCTGTGAGTTGGCATTTTGGTGTTGTAGGCGCGCGTATCCTAAGTGCTGAGAGCATTCTTAATTTAGCAAATGGTGGCCAATTGCCAAGTTTTCCGCTGATCCACGTGGAGGGAACAGCTTCAACACTAGCATCCTCGAGGAACTGAATAACTGTCCATGAGTCTGGCTCATTGAACTATTGTTCAATGTCTTTATACTCCCGATCCATCATTTTAATTTCATTATTTGTAAATTTTCACTTTTATGCACGAACTTAAAATGCTGGTGAAGGGCCACCGGGAACGTTATGGTGTAATGAAGCACCATTGCATTTCCTCCCGGGCCTACCTTTTGGACTCTTCCTTAAGGCGTAGGTAACTTTGCCTTAGAGGCCGGAATGTGGGTTGTTCATTCTTGAATGTATTTGAAGCGAGAAGGCAGAGCACTTTTGCGGTAAGATGGTTGGCTCTTGCCACCTGCGAGATGGTGGATGAAGTCCGTCAGATACTCCCCTACTGGTGACAACGTTGACGAAGTTATATGAAGATGACAGAGAGAGAGATAGATAGAATGGGGGAGAAAGAGAAAGAGATGAGCGACAACTGCAGACGTGGGGCAAATTGTTTTTGATTGTAGAAGGCAGAGAGAGCAACACAAGCGAGAATGGACGAGTCAATGCTACCGCAGAAATGTTCAAGCGAGTCTGTCGTCTCGTGGCGGAAAGAGAAAGGCGAGCCATTTTGGGGCCTTGTACTTGTGCGGGTTCAGATCACGTACGGTTTTCCAATTCCAAAAAGGCACGTTGAAGCATCTTTGCGTTTTTCCTACCTATTAGGTTAGTTAGTTAGGCGTAAGTGGACTCTGCCTTAGACGCCGGAATATGGGATGTTCATTGCGAATGTATTTGAAGGGAGAAGGCGTAGCTTTTATGCGGTAAGATTTTTTGCGGTCGCCGCCTTATACAAAACCGCGATATAGATTTTTACCAACATATGGTTTGCGTCAATTCGCAAGATCAAAGTCCAAACGCCTACTGACGGCTAAATTATCATTACAATTTAACTAGTGAAAGTTGAAACTTGTTTTGGCTAAATGTCGTTCTGATTAGTTTTACTTGTTCTGCCTTGTTCGGAGGGCAGCCCTTCGCTATATTTCTTAACAATTTGCTGTATTGGTTTTTGACTTGTGCGAATTAACTTTAAAATGATTTGCAGAAAATATTGAAAAGTAAATGCAGTTAACTCATCAACAGGGCCATAGTATTTTGCGTTGTCTGTTAAGTCTAATACGTTGTGAATATAAATGAGACATACTTTGCACCTCATAAAATTTTTAAAGTTGTGAGAAAGTATTGTGACAGATCAGAGGAATAATTAAACAGGTCGAGGTATTTTACGCAAGAAAAGATTGTTAAGGCAGTACGTAATAAGAAAAAAAAATATTTCAAATCTGTCGGGATTAACATAATTTATAACTCGTAAACGCCCTTGTAGAATGCAAATTGTCGATAGTCTGTTCCTTCCGACTTTTCCGTTCATCTAAGTTCCCAGGTTGCCTGCTACACCTGTTAAGGAATTGTTAATCGTTAGTGCTGTTTGTGCGATTGTTCCAATTTCGGTTAGTGGACTGTAAACGCTCTTCAATTTTTTTTTATTATTATATTCTATCGATGATCTGCCTACTTCCTGGCATTAAGAAGATGTGTTGCTTGATATTCTTCGCATGCGACAGGGTGTGTTACAATAGACGACCTCTGGGTTTGTCATAGAGAAATTTGGTATTTTTAAAAACTCGGTATTTTTTTGTGGGTCCGTAGTCCAGTATGTAGGTTGCCCTGTGGATATTGAGTTGAGTGAGATAAGTGCTCTTCCTCTGGATCCCCATGAGGTGTGTTTAGCAATGTAGTCGCCTCCGGCGATGAATTTTGGTCCTAGTGTTTTAAAAAAGTTGTCCAGAATATCGTGGTTGAGGATGTGTCTCGGAGGGTAGTAGATTGCTGATATAGTGATTTGTCCCATTGCTGTTTGGACAATCACAGTAGTCGCTTGTAGATAATCATGCTGACATTTTTCGGATTCGTGGTGCTTAATGGTATTTTTGATGATTATTACTGATTCTCCATGGGCAGTTCCGTCTGGGTGTTTTGTGTGGTATGTGATGTTTCCGGTCACTTTGAAGTACGATTTGTTTGTAAAGTGTGATTCGGACACCAGAAGAATATCAATATGGTTGGTCTTTAGAAAGACTTCTAATTCTTGTCGATGTTGGCATTCCAGAGTGCTATGTGTAAGGCATTACTGTCCTTTGAAGATTTTTTTTAATATCGGGGTTAGTAGATTGAGCAAGGTAGATAGTTGTTCAGCTTGTTTGATAAGGATGATTTCGAATCTGTTGAATGCCTGGGCGATGTTGTCTGCATTTGTAGTATTGTTGGCTGGAGGGGTTCCTGTTACAACTTGTGCATAGTTTCGACGGTCGTTTCCGGTTGTTGAAATTCTTCTATTAGTGGAGTTCTGGGATGGTAGTTGATGATTGTTGGGCTCTGGGAATATGGTTCTAGTTTTTTTAACGTTAATTCTTGGATTTCCGTCTTTTGTTGTGTCATTTTTGGGTTTCTGTATCTCTTTATAGACTGTACATCCTTTGTAGTTTGCCGGGTGTCACCCGCTACAAAGGACGCATGTTGCTGCTCTCCTGAGCATTTTACACATCGGTGTGGTCTATTGCAGCACCCTTTTGTCTGTCAATATATTTGACATCTTGTGCAGGTAGTTTCACACGTTTGTTTGGCCTTGTGATCGTTTGCCACTGTTCTCCGTCTACCTGGTCTCGGACGAATACCAAGTTTGTAACGGTTAAAAATAGAATTTAGCCAATGGCCTGTCTGCTAATCCGTTGTTCAAATGTATGTAGTAATAAGTTATAATAGTAATAAGCTATTTTTGTCAACCGATTTTCATTTGTAACTTGGATTTAGTAAGCACCTTTATCAGATTAGATTAGTTATATTTTGGGGATTATTTCAATTTTGATGTTTGGTGATTTGTATATCTCTCCCAAACATCAGCAGTCTTTATCATGGGTTTGTCTGGCAACGTGGTGGTTACCCCACCTTCACGGACCACCGTTATTGATGGAAATGGACGAGGAGTGGACCCAGCAGGGTCACCGAGCAAAGGGGAATCACGTACCAGAGAATGCTGAACATAGTCGATCACCGTCAGCTTGACCTCTGAATCCGCCTTATTCTGCTCTGTGATAGATCTGCCCGCTACTTGAATATCCGTTTGGGGACATCACCCGCCTCCCGGTTCCCGTCTGGGGATATTGATTCACTGAAATTGTGGACTGGGTAGCCAGGGGCGATCTGGATGAGATCTGGACCTAGCACGTAGGCGTCGGCAGCACGTGGCGGCGACTTCGGGGACTTGCTGGTGTTTGGGGTGAGTATTGCCATTGGCTGTGTATTGTCAATTTGTATTTTTTTTGCAAATTTTCATTTAATTAAGCAGTTAACGTAGGTTACAGATCAAACGGTTAGCAGACGGTAGTTTGTGGTCGTCAAACCACGTTTTCTTGTTCTTTATTAAGCTCACGATTTTTCTGTTTTTTTGTATCATCATTCATGTCAGTTTATATGCTATCACGGTAAAAGAATTGAATGGGTATTTCGGCAGCATTCCATCGCTGAGTGTTCTAGCTTTGCTGCGTAAGCTAGTGGCGCTCAAACGAACTCACCCTTCGGGCTTTGCACACGACCGCCCGAAATACCCGCTCAAGGGAAAACCTTTTTTTTCTCTCTCTTTCTCTCTATTAAATTGTCATTTAAATCGCTGCATTAATTAAATAGTTTTCATTAAAGGTTAATTTTTATTCTTTTGTTCTGTCCGAAATTTGTCGGGTTGCAATTTGGCGCCCAACATTGGTGGGTTCGCCACTTCTTGGGAAGTTGTTCTGTCAGAGCCTGGGCCCGGTGCCTTCTTCTTCATTCACACTTTGTCCGTGTGATTGTTTATTGGCGATGAATAGTAAACCGCGGAAGTATAAACCACCGCACTTTAAATCGAGAGTCAATTTTACTTTAGTTTGCTTCGGAATCCTTTAGATAGTTATTGAGATAAAATGAATGTTGCTTTTGGCTCAAAAAAATTATATGATAAGAATCACTTTACTTCACACACAAAACACGTCCTATCGGTACGAGTACTTCTAGGCGAATGCTCTTCAATTTGAATCGATATATTTAATGACTCAAACTAAGATTTGACACGTATTTTTGAATGGTAGTCGGTTTCCGGCAGGGCGAGATGTGTTCGACTATAAATAATGTTAGACTGGTTTTTGGTTGTTTGGAATTTGGCAATGCATGGGTGGGTCGTTGTCTCCTTTCAGCAAAACAATGTAACCAATTTTTAGGTTTTTTTGAGAGGATGTTCATTTTGATCTCTGATGCAGTGGCTTACTCTTTGCAGTCTTTGCTTCATAGCTTCCAGAATCTTTCAACCAATTGATGAAGCTGCTTATAATGTGTCAATCGGTTGATCAGGAATATTGATTTCGCCTGATTGAGGTACTGCAACGAAACTTTACCCAATTAAAAAATGTCCGGGTGTAAGCGCTTCAAGCTCCGTAGGATCCGATGTTAAGGGTAAGATTTGATGGGAGTTTAGAATAGCCTCAATTTGTGTGAGTAACGTATGAAATTGTTCGAAATTTAGATTATGATTACCTATGACACTTTTAAATTAAATGGTAAGGTACTTAATACCTTTAAGGTACTTAAAGGAGCGAACGGCAGATTCCCAAATATCTCCATGATGGGGGGATCGTACGGGTATGAAATGCTATTGAATTCGATGTTCCGCGAAATAATTTTAATATTTATCGTTCACAGACTCGTATAACTCGGCAAAATCTGAGTACCTCATGTTTAGAGCCAACGAAATTAGTTGCATTCTCACTGAAAATATGGTGACATAATCCGCGGCGTGAAACAAATTGTTTGAAGACATTCAAAAATACATAAGAACTAAAAATCGTTCATCCCAGCTCAGCATGTACGGCACGTGTACTGAATCATATGAAGATACAAATCTACGCTTTGATGCCAACGCCATTACCAGTCTTGCCATCTTTTAGCAAATACCGCCCTGCATAGTCAATCTCGCAATACGAAACCGGCCGTTACGAGGTGACTCGGGGTTAGGCAAAGAACCCATCATTTGTTGTGGACTGACAGGTTTCACGCAATTGCGGTCCAGCATGCAAAAACTTAAGATGATAATAGTTTATCATCAAATCAACAAATGCATGTTTAGCCGGTAGAATTATGGCATATTTTGTATCGAGCTTCAAGTAAGAATTTGATAATCCCCCGCCTACGCCCATAAGCCCTGTTCGTCGAAAAACGGATCAAGATTGAGTAGTTTACTATGTCTCGGCACACTCACGCCCCTTTGTAGACAATGGCATTCTTCACAGAGAACTTTTTAATTTGTATAATTTGGCACAGTTTAAAAACTCTTTCGTCCAATTGTTGGGGTGACAATGATGCTTTGACAGTTTCCTTCTGTCTGATAGGTTTACGAATAAATCTATATATGTCCGAAAAGAACTCGAATTAATTTGCTGTACGAGGGCCACTGTGAAAATATTTGATTTTGCGTTTCGCTGTTTTGCCGTATGTTTAGAAAATATAATTTATATATTATTTCCGCAAATCGCAGAGCACTATTTTGACATTTGAAAAATTTGGAAAAGATGCGTCCTTTTTGACATCGTCTCTCCAAAGAATTTGTTGCAATTTGCGTTGAGATTTGTCTATCCATATAATGTGGTGCATTTTTTTATGTGTGCAACAATCAAGATTGGATAGGTGCGCATGCGTAACACTATATCGATAACGTCCTTTTGTACTTTAGGCGCCACCTTTAGAAGTTCGTTTAAGCTATGTCCAGAGCAAGTTGTTAGACTTGCATTAAACACCACACGTAGCTTCGTAGTGTTGTTGCATTCTTTCAGTGCGGCATGATGTATACACGAGTTTCGTCAGGTGAATTTGACTCGGGGCTAACATGTGACCCATTCTTTCATATTCACTTAAAAACTCTGCTTAATGACTTTGTTACTAGGCATTTTCATCTAAACGTCTTTCCAAGGCAAGTAAATATTTTAAGGCGATCGAATATAATTCTCCTAAATTTTTGTGATTGTCCTTTGATAATAATTGTTCTTAATAATTTAAAAGAAGCTGAACTGCGTAGCGTCCATCTTCAGGATTGATTTTGTGAGCTTTTGAAAACTTTGGTAGCATTCTAATTCTTCATTCGTTAATTTGTTTTGTTTGATTTTTGAGTTTTAAAAATCTCTGAATTGACGCGGTTAATCTTTCGTGAGACTCGTTCACGTTAACGCTCCAATGCTCGTTTTCTTCAGTTGATTTGGTGTTAAAGCTTAAGGATCCGTTAAAAAGATAACATCCATCCAAATTTCGTATTTTGCAAAATAAGTGCGTGTGTTCCAAGCGATATTTTTTCGTTATTTAACGATCGCAAAAATAATTCTGTAACAATCGGAATGTCAATTACGTTGGACGTGTAGAAACTTGGGTCTCTCTGCTAAACGTTTTCGAGTAACTTTGGTAAACAAGGATCGAATGAAACTTGTAGTAGCTTCGTTGTGTTTTTATTTAGAACTAAAAATTCTGCGGTTGATTGAAATTAATTGTTTAACTTTCTAATATTTGTTGTGACTTTGACTGCAATGCAAGACGCGTTATTTATTGCGAGGACGGGTACGTTTATTGCCTTACCAGGAATATTTAATTTCCGACATTTAATTCTGCAGAACAAAAGTTCTGAATGCTGCTAATGCTGAATCGAGAATCAGACGTTTGTTCTTTGAATCTAAGATGTAAGCTACTGCCGTTGCAAGTAGAACCTCCGAACTCGCGGATTGTTTGCGGTTTGTACCTGTGGCTCTGCCACATTATAAGCAGTTTCTTCATATTCACACGCATTGATGCTAGTTAAAACGGTGCGAGTAGGCTGCCACGAACCAGCAATATTTTTAGGGATATTTTCGGGATTAGTTACGTTGTTTGTACGACTAACTGCTGTAAAGGAACCATACTATCATTTCGGTTAGGTAAGGTTTTGCTTGTGCAATCATCGATACTATGGCCGGTTTTTAAACAATTATCCCAAACGCATCAGCTCAACAAGTCAATCTTTACATGATAATGCGAGTAGTTTATAGCATTTGTATGTGTATTGCGATGTTTCCTTGGAAAACGAACTCTTTTCGAATGCCTTTATTTGGCACTCAAAGTGGACTGTATTTATCGTATAATTATAATGACGACCACTGGGTGTTTTTTACGATAATTTATTTGTGCTTTTTTATAATTGAGTCTGTCAACAACTACTTTTTTGTTTATAAAAAACAACCGTTGCTACTGGTATCTCGAGCTTCGGTTATCTTAAATCTATTCTCAATTATTTTAACAGCACTAACGATTCACGATTCCTTTACACACTTCCCGCCTTGAAAGTCCTACTCTTTCAACTAACCAAAAATTGCTCCCTGTTTATGTTAACAAAATCTAGAGGCAAAAATCCATGGCCTAACTCTACTGCTAATAATTAACATAAGCTTATCTAACTTAAACTATTCCCTACTGATTAATTCACATCCAAAACTAATCAACTGGTAACGCACAAATCTGGTTAACGGAACGTCTTATGGTACCCTGACGGGTTTTTATGTCCACAACTCTGCACACGTTGTCCTTACCGGGATACTTAAGTATGCGTCCCAGTTTCCAGTCTAAGATTGGTCCCGAATCATGTTTGACTAACACTAAAGTCCCTACTTTAAAATTACATTGAGAGATCCGCTTCCATTTTACACGATTTTGAAGCTCACTCAAAAATTCGTTTTTCCACCTGTTCCAAACATGTTGCACAGATACCTCAATACGTTGCAATTTCTTAAGCAAATTTTCTTTACACTCGGTTAAATGTAGTTCAGGAAGAACCATTAAATTTTTACCTATTATGAAATGTGCCGGGGTCAACGCAGTAACATCTTCAGGATTATCATACATAGGACATAAGGGCCAAAAGTTCAATATAGCCTCTATTTGTGTCAAAATGGCCAGAAACTGTTCAAAAGTGTATGAATTCACAGCAATCACTGTTTTTAAATGGTGTTTAATGCTTTTTAATGCCGGCTTCCCAGAGCCCACCAAAATTAGGAGCCTTTGCTGGAATAAAATTCCATTAGACCCTTTCAGAAATCAAATCGGCAGGTATGGTGTCGGAGGAATTCTCAAAAAATTCATAAATTCTTCCAATTTCTTTATTAGCCCTTACATAATTAGTACCATTATTTGAATATATGTTTAGGGGTTTTCCTCTCCTACTCACGAATCGTTTTAAAGCTGCTAAAAAAATCTCAGAAGTCAAATCAGAAACAATTTCTATGTGAACCGCTTTTGTACAGATACATATAAATAGGCATATCCAAACCTTAAAAATGGACCTCCATAATCAGTTCCTACATTTGAAAAAACATAGTGCTCAATCACTCTAACTCCAGGAAGGTCTCCCATTAAATAATTACTGCCAGTCTCTGGTTTTGCCTTGAAGCAAACCACACACTGTCTAACAATCCTTTTACACTTATTCCTGCCACAAATTATCGAAAATTTATCCCTGATTGAACTTGATTATTTGAACCCTGAACCGATTATTGGCCTTATCCTTATATTCTTGGGATCATCGTTGAATTTGAGCCAATCTTATCAAAAGCATCAATGAATTTTCAATTTTCTCTGGGACTAAAACCTCATTAAGGTTTGTCATCTTTTTATTCGACCTATTTGTTTCTAATTTTTGATAAACCTTGTAACGTAGCTTAAAACCCGTAAAATTTTATTTAAACAAGAAAATTTCTTTAATTAATTTTTTGACACGTTCTGTTCCTGATTGATAGCGATGTTACTGTAAGATTGTTTTTCTGGAATATCAAAATCACTTACTGGGTCTTTCATATCCTATTTTAAATTTGCTCTTGCTCACCAGTCTGGTCCATGAAACCATAATCTACGTTCACACATCTGTTTATGCGTTACACCCCTAGATAACAAATCCGCTGGATTCTCTTGAGGTTTAACGTGATGCAAATTGTTTATATTTATCAAGGTTAGTATTTCACTTACCCGATTACCTACGAAAGTCTTCCAACGGTTGTATTCTCCTTTTATCCATGCCAAAGTAACTGAAGAATCAGTCCAGAAATAAAAGTTATCAAACCTTATTTCACTGGTTGTAATTTCCTTTCTAGTCAAAGATGCCAATAGGACAGCCCCACAAAGCTCTAACCTTGGTAAATTTACATTTTTAAGTGGATCAACTTGACTTTTAGCCGCTAATAAGTGGTTATTGATGGAATAACTAGGGCGGAACTGCATGGATTCTGTGATGCATCTGAAAGGGCATCGGTGGTCTTATATATAAGAAACCTTATGCTTGATGGGGAGCCATAAATTACTTGGACTTGGCGTCAGTTGTAACGTGTTAACACCTTCTAAAACGAAGAATTTGCCGTGGTAGAAATACACTGTTGTTAAGTGGAGAAAGAGAAATACGTGTTTTGACTCAAATCGTCTATTAAAACAAATATTAACTGTAGCTGAAACTAAGACTGCTCCAAAAAGGAGGCAAATAACAGGAATGGAAAACTGACGAAAGTAAATGATCCCAGCACCATGTTGGTTGTTTTTCTCTCTCTCGTCTTCCACCCATATTTTTTGGCTACGTTCAACTGATAGCGTAGATATGATGGCCGCATTATCAACGAGATGCATGGCGAGCCCCAACCCGGAATAAAAGATTTGACATACTTTTGTAGTTTTAACTGCAAAACAATAACTAGGTGTATTTACTACACTGGTGGGCTGATGTGACTGATTATATTATTTAAAAATCACTTTAGATTTGATCCTGTTGAGGCGATGATTGGTCATCAAATGTAATGTCTTAATAACTTTTTCCTACCTAGTTGCGTCAAAAACTCGCCGTGGCAGTCACATTGTGTTTTGTTCTGAATAATGGTGGTGATCATCACATAATACTAAAATACTTTTCAGATAAAATGTTAACTCCAGTGCTACAATACACCGATAATGATGTCATATGCAACATGATTCTCACGTTGCTATGTGAATCTTGGTTGGATCATATTTACAACCACAAAGTAAAATTTTCGCGATTTGGGGCCTTTCAGGTCCTCTGCGATTTTGCGTACGTCGGCATATGGATACAAGAATGTACTTTCATCAGCAAAAACATGAAAATTGAACTGACGAAAAACGAAGTTTTGCGCCGATGTGAAGGAGTGGGCAGATTACTTCTTAGATACCCTGGAGAAAAGCTGAAAATGGTGGACCCAAAGTTGCTGAAAAAGTCAGGTAAGGCCCCAATTCATTAAATGAAAAACTTATCACATTGAGCATAACATGGCGTCAAAAAGATGTAATATTTAGTCAGTCAATTAGGCTTGGATGTGCATGTAGGGGTTCGGGAGGTATCTTGATCATGTGCCGCTGTGGAGCGTCGATGTGTGAGCTCGATCACCCCACAACTGACATCACTTTTATATCTCGTTAATTAAAAATCGACTGATATCAGAAACGGGGATAGGAGAAGAAATCAGAGAAATACCAGTTTTGTGAAGTATACAGGGTTGCAGATTAGTGCGTCTAAGTGCGATAACTCAATAAATATGAATTTTAAAGGAAAATATCCCCCTCGAAAGATTTTCGTGTTTCTGCTATGCGAATTTTAAAATTATTTTCCAGTATACGGGGTGCGTTATAAATGTGTGGTGGTAACCAGCTAAGGTTTTTAAATGGAACTCATTTATCCTTTTTTGCGCCTTTCGGTTTATCGTCAAATTCGAATTTAAACTTATTTCGAAAATTTCATGTGAAAAACTTACGGTTTTGGAAAAGTGTCTTCTGTGATTCCAAAAAGACTTAATCATCTACGTGCAGATATGTTTAAGTTCATCAAGAAATGTCCGTAAACCGCTCAATTAGCCTCTAAACTTGCATGTTTTTAAAGCTCAAAAAGCTGCTTATTTCAAATGAAACGCACAAATTTTTCTTTACCTTCCCAAACCGTAATAATCTTTACCATTATGCAATAGAAAACTCAAAATCAGTGAGGTCAGTTGATGCTCAGCGACAGTGGGCTGTAAATGTTTGGGATGGTATTTTGGGTGACTTCATAGTTGGGCTACACTTCTTTCACGGACACTTGAATGGTGCCGCATATTTTTATTTTTTGCAAAACATTCCTGTTCATTTAAGGCAAAATGTTTTGCTACAGCATGGCCGTGCTCCTGAACACTTTGCCCTAAATGTCAGACACTATTTAAATCGAGAATTTGAAGATATATCGATAAGCCGTGGCGGTCCCGTTTCTTGGCCACCTAAGCGCCAGAGTTCGCTTAACTAAATTGGATTTTTTCTATGGGGTCCATGGGGCAAACATGCAATTTTGGATGCCCATCGGCGGTTGATTGTAAACTTTTCGCAAATTAACCTACGTCAGCACGTACCTTGTTTAGTCCTCTTAGAGGTCCACAAGACCGATTTCAAAATTTGTAGCAATTAAGGTACACCGCCAATTTCTGTGGATCCCAGCAGCTGTCAAAATTTTCATATTTTTTCGAATAATTCCAAAACCGTAAATTTTGCAGGTAAAACGTTTGAAATTGATTTAAATTGAAATTTGACGGGAAAAAAAAGAGCCTTTGGTAGTGTCGGATCAATAGAATATTATATCATTTTTCGACAGTCCAATAAGAGTGATTACGCTGATCATTTTTGCTTAGTTTGACACGATAAACATTATTTTTTTACTAATATTCTAGAAGCTGAGACACTAACGTATCATCAACAGATGCCCGCTGAAATGTATGTTCCCAACCAAGAGCAATGGCTGGAGTTGAAAGCTGAAAGACAAAACCGTGCTTTTAATTCAGTATGTTAAGTAGAATAGGTTCAGCATAACATGTTGAAATATGTAAAGTTGGATCCAGCTAAAGAGCTTGAATTCACAATACTATGCAGGCGCTCAAATTATATACTTGACGCGGTGCTGTGCCAAGTTCTTTCTGGAATATTATAAGGTGTTAATGGTTGTTTAACATACCCTGATGCAAACTTCTCACATATTGTAGATTTTGGGATGAATTCCTCAATGTTCTGACAGATTAAGGCGCAGTTCTGCATGGGAATAGTTTAGATGTAAGTCCATATTTATGAAAGTGGTCTAAGTAAAAATTTGAAAAATAAATGAGTTGATTAGTTATTTCACACTACAGGGTGACATTGACGTCATTTCTCTGGAGGTGTTGCCTGGAAGCGTTTTAGGAGTACAGACAAAATGGTAAACAAAATTAATTGTAATTAAAAACTGAGAAATTTGGAAACAATATATTAGAAAAACGTCAACAATATTTTTCAAGATAATCTGGCTAATTAACGTTAAGTAAATTTCTGTTGCTTCGCAATAATTTAAAACTCCGGTAAGCATGGATAAATGGTAGGTAGACAAACATGAACGGTAAATTCAACAGAAATCCTTGAATGACAGAACCTATTTCGAAACTCATTACCTCGAATTATTAATTTGTTTACAAATTACAAAAACATACATTTGAGTCTGTAACTTCACTGTAACTAACTATAACAAACAAGCGCCTGTGTAATCACCTTATTACGCACTCTTTGAGCAATTTATACCAGTGTTCAGTAATCCATTGATTTAAAGTGAATCTTATATACGTGGTAGCCGGTATTCATTTGGTACATGGCAAAGTGTCAGTTGTTGTGCAATGTTCTGAGAGCATTCTTCTCTGCTACAATTATGTCCAATCCTTGTCCCTCTATGTCTGGAACCCGAACATCTATTGCTGTCCACGCTCTTCCTGAAACCACACTCCTCCCCTTTGCTGGCGTGAGTTCTTTCAGCTTCTGCTATGTTACTGTTGCATTTCCCCTGAACTAATCGGATATCCGCAAGTTCGTGAAAGGGAGTTCAAGAAAAATCATTTTGGCGGGAAAGCAAAACTGTCCAATCTATACTCGGTAATCTGTGCTTGACATCTGTCACGCAGGGATGCCAACATTTTAATCACAGAACATACCCCCTTAGAATGGAAACTGCAATGATAGGTTATGGTGATAAATTCAGCTATCCACCTAGCGGTTTGAGCACACAAACTATGAGGAATTTCTCCGATATTTGACTCTTAATGATTGCATTCACCAAATATATCGGGTCAATAAAAAAACCCTGTTATGTAATACTTTATTCAATACGTAGTCAATAAATCAGTTACAACCATGTTTTGTTGCTTTCGGAACTATTTGCAACAAATGTTTGTTTCTGTGATGTACCAGTGTTCTCCTTGTCCGGATATTTTCTGAAAGATGATTGATTTGCTCGGCTCTGAAACAACAATGTGAGGAATTAATTTTCTGGCATTGCCTAAAATCATTTGTCGCTTCAGCAATTTTACTAATTGTTTTCCTCAAATGTCAATTTTGCTTTATAAATAATGCTTTTTCAAGAAATTTCAGGAAACATTGCACTCCCCATAAAAAACGTTAACAATAATTGGTAACCCAATAATTGGTAAAGTCATTACAGTAATTGTAATTTTCGAGAAATAATAAAATAAATCTATTTCGTACTTAGAAAAGTATCTGATAATTCAGCACCCTCAATTTTTTGGCATTTAGAAGCCGCCTTCATTAACTTTATAATTATCTGCCTCGAATGTATGTATGCTAGCACAAACTGTATTCATTTATCTATTTATTATTTAGAATAATCAAACTTATTTGTTAGTTACCTGGCGTCAGATTTAAAGTTGGTACAGCATTCCATGTTAAATTCGTGCATCTACTATCAAATACTGAATAATAAGCTTTAAGATGAGCTGCACATTTCCACTTGTTTTCACTACTATCTGGAGGACCCGGTAGAAAGTAAACATTTTAACAGCTTTTAACAAAGTTTGTAAGAAAATGTGAAAAATGCAGCCTCAGGGTTTACAAACGGGCACTCAACACTTTTATCTCTGGGCTTTAAGTTCCGACATAAAATCCGCCATGACCGTATTCTGAAAACGTCTCTAAGCAGTATCTCATCATGTAGTCAAATGATAATGCAGTTTTAGAGAAGAATTTTAGAATTGTTTAACAAAACGATAATGTAAACACTCGCAGTAGCTCGGAAATTCGCAAATGAAGAAGAAGTACAGTGTTGTCGCCTCACCCAATGGCAAATTACTCAAATTAATTTCTTAACCGAATATCAATTTTACTATGATTAAATGAAAAAATACACAACAATAATCCGGGTATCAAAATCTCGAAAAAATTTCGCTATATAAGAAAATCCCGTTCACTGATTTTCTTTCAAATTTTGTTTATACCGGTTTGCCTCTCTAATCATTATCTAATAATCTCGTAAGTTGACCTAGAACCGGCTACGTTTCATTATGGGTGCGCCACATATCTACCAAACAGCAAACTAACCGCAAACTGCTGRAAATTTCTGCCAAAAAAAATTTCTGTGGAGCGACATCTACAATAGCGAGGTACGAAATAGCATGTAAGTCCCGCCCTATTTTGTTTCCATTCTAAGGGGGGATATTTTGTGATTTTAATAGTAAATTTCCATATATCGTTTCTGAAAAATTCGTATGCAAATTGCGCAGGCGCACTGTACTGTAAAGACGCGTAGATAATAGTACAAGACCAACTAACAAAATCATAATATCACGCACTCAAGTTATTTATTCAAGTATTTTATAGTATGAAGACTACAGGTAAAAAAGGGACTTTGTCATTTTAATATCATTGAGATAATACAGTTATTTGTTAGAAAATCTCGCAAACTTCTAGTTTCTAAAGCTAAAATTTACGCTAAAAAAGTTGTTAATGAAGGTGATCGTATCGTTCCAGTCCCTCCAAACCTTTGGTTTTCTATGGTTTTATCTTAAAGAAAACTTTAAATTAAGCAGTGTAAAGAAATCCTAAATGGACAAAGTTTGACAAAATTCACCATTTTCAGGCTAAATTTCGAGCGGTGTTGCCAACCTTCACAAAACGTTTTAAGTTCTTGTAAATTGTTTCCTGGGATACCTAGCAAGCAGATCCACTAAGTTTGGGTCGGTTTAGATTATTTAGCTATTTTGTTGATTTTTGATGACCTGAAACACGACTTAGCAGCAAATGGCACCGGACAATCTCAATTTCCTGCATAAATGAGTGATTTTGGAAAAGCGAATTTCAAAAGTGTGTAAGTGTTTTTTGGCTTACTTATGGACCATCTAGAATTTGTTTCCGTGAAAGTGCTGAACTTGAAGTTTTCTTTAAGGTGAAATAAGAAAAACGAAAAATCGGAGTAAGTCAAACGGCACGATCATCGTTTTTGAAAATATTTTCTACAAGGTGAGCACTTTTTTAACGACGCATGATTTCCCTTCAAATAGCACCTTCAAAACAAATTTTGACTATGATGTCTACGCAATTTAACTGATTTAAAATCACTATAGCACAGACTACTCACTATTATAGACTATAGTCATGGTGACGATGTAGAACAATTGCATTTATCAGACGTCGAACAAAGAATGATTGCTGCGAAATTCATCCTGGAAGTTCCAACAAAAAGGTAAAGTATAATATAATGTGAAATATAAAGTAAGTCACAGTTTGACAAATTATTGTTATTATTGGCAAGGGCTATCCACCTGTAACTATCTGTTAATGCCAAAAAACATTGTAACGGTTAAAAATAGAATTTCGCCAGTGGTTTAGCTGTCTGCTAACCCGTTGTTCAAATGCATGTAGTAATAAGTAATAATTGTAATAAGCTATTGTTGTCAATCGATTTTCATTTGTAATTTGGATTTGGTCAGCATGTTTGTCAGATTAGGTTAGTAATTTTTCGGGAATTATTTGAATTTTGATGTTTGGATATTTGCATCTCTCTCCCAAACATCAGCAGTTTTAATCATGGGTTTGTCTGGGCGCGGTGGATGCCCCACCTTCACAGACCACCGTTATTGATGGGAAGGGACGAGGAATGGACCTAGTAGGGTCAGCCAGCGAAGGGCAATCCAGTACCAACGATAGTAGAGAACTTCGTTCTTCCCCAGATCAACGGGAATCAAGTACGAGAAATTGCCGAAGACGGTCGATTACCGTCACCTTGACCACCGAGTCCGCCATATTCTGCTGTGTGATAGATCTTGCCCGCTACTTGAACATCTATTTGAGGCCATCAACCGCCTCCTGGTTCTTGACTGGGGATATTGTGGACTGGATAGCTAAGGACGTTCTGGACCTAGCACGTAGGCATCGACAGCACGTGGTGGCGACCTTCGTAGACTCGCTGGTGTGTGGGGCGAGTATTGCTACTGGCTGTATGTTATCAATTTTGTATTTTCTGGAAATTTTCATTTAGTTAAGTAATTAACGTAGAGTATAGATCAAACGGTTAGCAGACGGTAGTTTGTGGTCGTCAAACTACGTTTTATTGTTCGTTATTAAGCTCACTATTTTCCTTTCTTCATAAATCATTATTTAAGTCAGTTTATGTACTTTCACGGTAAAAGAATTGAGTAGGAATTTCGACAACATTCTATCGCTGAGTGTTCGAGCTTTGCTGCTGGTGGCGCTCAAACGTCAAACGAACTCACCCTTCGGGCTTTGCACAAGACCGCCCAAAATACCCGCTCAAGGGAAACCTTTTTTTCGCTCTCTCTCTCTGTCTCTATTAAATTGCCATTTAAATCATTATCTTAAATAAATAGTTTTTATTAAAGGTTGGTTTTTATTATTTTGTTCTGTCCGAAATTTGTCGAGCTGCAACATCAATGCCGCAACACGACAACAACTCAATTAACACAACGCAACAAATTAATTATGAAAGTGGTCTATGTCAAAAAAATTAAAAAATAATATATACATAACTTGAGAAAGGCGTATGGCCCTTTGAGCTCTTTAACGCGCTTTTCACAACGCTGAGCATTATAACGAATTAATAGAAAAGTTTAGAAGCAGAAATATCCTCTCGACGAAACGAATGTAGCAGCCGGATTTTATTTCAACGAAATTAATAGACCAGTCAACAACATGGAGAGGAAAAAAATACGATGCAAATCTGGCTCTTGGCTGCAAGTACAATGGATAAATTCTTGAAAAATGAACCTTATACAATATTCTATAAAACTTTTATATGATTCTCAATTTGACGTTTTGGATCTTTCACGTAAAAGAGGTAGACCAAAAATGTATGCAAATGTTAAGCTACTTCCATTACACATCACCTCTAGACCATTAGCCCAAAAAAACATAAATATATTGTGTTTACTACCTGTTTAGTACATATGTGTCTAAGCCTAGCTTATTCTAAAATTAATTCCTATTCCTAACACTGGTATAAATTGATCAGCTATAAAAACATTTAAAAAAATTCTTGACTTACAAAACAAACAGATCTTAGTTCTTAGTTCAGTTGCCTTTGTAGGTGTTCTGGTAAAGTATCTGTTGGGGAACGAAAACGGGAATGTGTTGTCGCTCTTGTGAGGCAAAGGGGATTCATGGCCGGTTTCTGAAACGACCTTTATAGTACCAATAGCCTAAACGGCTCTATAAGTAGAAAAATTGTGTTTCTGAAATGTTCGATAAAAGCTAGCGGTTCGATATACTGAAGAACCGATAAAGGTGCGCTCTCGGACCTTTATCGGTTCTATAAGTTGTAGGAGCGGCGCACGCAAACGTATTTGCTATTAATATCAAAGTCATCGCAAATCAGCTGTGAGCAGAGAACACGTTTTGGGAAAACAATAATAACATTTTTGGAAGCGAAATTGGTGTGTAAAAGTGAAGAAAAGTTTTGGAAAATAATGGAAGATTCCACTTCGGACTCATCTGACGGGGAAGTTTTTGATGTTCTCAGTAGTGAAATAACTCGCCATTTTCGAGCACGGAATGATCATTTTGTGAAATTCAGCGCAGATGAATTCCGGGATCGTTTTCGTTTAACCAAAAACGTTGTTCACTAATTAGAAGAGCTACTTAAGGATCAAATTCAGCCAGTGACACAGAGAAACCATAGTTTTTTTTTTAGAACATTTGCTAATTACTCTAAGGTTTTATTGTGACAAAATATATTTGCATAGTCTAGGTATTTATTTGATTTTTTCTAGGATCATATCAGATAGTCATAGGGGATGACTTTAATGTGCATAAGTCTAGAGTGTGTAGAGTTTTGGAAAAGGTAACTTATGCCATAGCCCAATATGCACCTGATTTCATAACAATGCCAACTTCTGATCAAGAAATAAGGCAAGTAAAATCGTATTTTTGCCATTAGAGGATTTCCAAATGTATTGGGCTGCATTGATGGATCTGACGTTCCAATACAATCACCAGGAGGATGCAATGCAGAACTATATAAAAATAGAAAGGGATATTTTTCTGTTAATGTACAGGTCATTTGTGATGCAAAATTATGTATACGAAACATTGTTGCACGATGGCCTGGTTCTACTCATGACAGTACAATGTTTAATGCATCACTCATTTGTGCCCAATTGGAACAAGGAATGTTTAAAAATTCGTATTTACTAGGTGACAGTGCGTATCCCTGCAAGGATTATTTATGAACTCCCCTCTTAAATCCTTTGTTACCACAAGAAATTCAATACAACGCTGCACATATGGCAACTAGAAATACGGTTGAACAACGTTTGGTGTCTGGAAGAGACGGTTTTCATGCCTTGCAAGGGGTTTGAGAACTGACATTGCATTCCATTCTTCGTCCCTTCCCTTAAATAACTGTGGTCCGCGAAGATGGGGCAACTGCCACGTTGCCAGACAAAACCATGATAAAAACTGCTGATGTTTGGGAAAGAGACACAAATATCCAAACATCAAAATTCAAATAATCCCTGGAATATTATTAACCTAATATGACAAACATGTCAAGAACAACAGCTTAGTACAATTATATCTTATTACTACATACATTCGAACAACGGGTTAGCAGGCAGCTGAACCACTAGCTAAATTTCATTTTTAAGGGGGACATACAAGCATCTAAACATTAAAATATAAATAATTCTTGAAATATAGTTAAGTTAACTTGACAAACGCGATTACTCAATCCAAGTTGCAAACAAATATCGGTTGAAGAGGAAAACTCATTAAAATTACGACTTTAATTTGGAAACGGGTTAATTTAAAAACTACTTAAATTTGACAACGGGTTAGCAGACAGGTGGAACGTTAATTATATTTCCAAATTTAACCGTCACACCTGTATCTATAGCATCAAAGCGCAGCCATTTTCTGCTGCACTGAGTTATTAGAATAAAAATTAATCAAGTGGTCAGTATGGATGGGCTTTCTGAAAATGTTATAGGCTGATCTGTGGTTATCGACTGAAATTTGCAGAAAGTTGAGCCTATTGTCGACCTGAGGAAAGGCAATAAGCGATTTCCTTATGGAGCCGGGAATGAAGTTACGGGCCAGAATTGCATTGACAATAGGCAAGACAGACTTGCTGGGGACATTGGTGAACAGGTTGGTCACATCAAAGGAAACCAACATGCAAGCCGCTGGCAAGGCCAAATGTTTAGTCACCATTTCGACACGTTCAGGGATTTTAAGGATTAATTTTTTTTAAGTTATTTTATTTTAACGTTTTTTAATAATTTTAACGTTTTGTAATTTTAAGGATTTTAACCTCAATTGTAACTTTTTTCATTAACAACAATTAACTAACAATTTTCATTACTATATTCTGAACAATTTTCATTACTATATTCTAAACATTTCATGTTATTTCGTTTCTCGCCGTGCGTGTTTTTTGTGTTTTCTGACCACCCTACTGTTGTTGAGCATGAGTTGTGCGCCAACCTTTGGGTTTGCTTATGACCTAACGAGTGAGTTTTTCAATGTATGTTATTCCATTCAATTTCTTGACTCCTCAAAGGTGCTTAATTTTATTTTTGTACTTCCAGCAGCCCTGATGATAACGTAACAGTCGAAAGCGCCAGGCCATAGGCTCAAGGGTTGAACTAAATTTCAACCTGGATTATGCACACTATAATACAATTTCGCATTCTCTTTGATTGGACATTTCAATATGGCCCCTATATCATACCAACATGCCAAAAACATGGTGGTGGAAAAAAAGTATTATTCTGTGGATGAGTTTCTTCCCGATGTGACCTGTAATTAAGCCTTGTTGCCGATGTTAGTGTTTATTTGTTGTTATTGATAATTTATTTGGTGCTTTCTATGTTCGTTTCTTTGTTTGTGGTCTGATGACTGTAAACCAACCGAGTTTTGCTTGATATTTTTGTGAAGTTTATGCATGTAGATTTTCCCTCATTGTGTTTGATTCGACCTTTGCGTTTTCAGCTATCAATTTTATCAGTTGCTTGTTACAGTTTTGTTGCTAATCCTTCGAATGAGCGCATATTCCCAGCGTTGCTGTGTGCGCTTCCGTGGGAACAACTGCTCGTATTTTCTTGGATTCTGAGCATGCATCATATTTAATGCGAAACTTCCGTTCTGATAAGTACGATTTAAGGAGTTGATAAGTACACTTACCATACTAATAATGCCATACTCGGCCAAATGCTTGTTCTGCGTTTAAGTACATAGCCGAGCACACATTTGTATGCTCAAAGAGC